CCACTGCCTGTACCTCATGGCTTCCATGATGCTCAACGTGCGCCTGCAGGTTCATATTGAGATCCACTGAAACCCCCTCTGCCAGACTCTCAGGCTCCCCCTCCCCAGGCTCATTGCAGCAGAGAAAACAAACATGAACGATGGAAAAGGGACCCTGGACACCTGCCTGGCAGAAGCCCAGAGGCTGGGAGGGGATGACTTGGACACACTGTGGTGTAGCCTTAAGAATCAGACACAGAAGGGGAGCCCCTGCTCTGCACATGTGGAGGTAAAGCCACCTAGGGTTGATGGCAGTGGAAATTTCCAGGATGAGCAACAGACGTGAAGCATGGTTGGAGCCAGCCTGGCCTCTTGCTTCACTGGGCCAGCAAAGTGTCCCTGGGTCTGAAGGAGCTGATAGGAAAAAGTTCAGTCCCAGCTGCTCTGAGCCAGGCCATGGGACCGTGTGATGCCGTGTGTTTGTGTGAGTGTGTGTGTGTGTGTGTGTGTGTGTGTGTGCACTATTCCTGCAGAAGAAGTTTGCTAGGGAAGCTCTTAGGTGGGACTGGCCAAAAAGATGGCCTGAAGCCCCCAACAGCCACAGAGGATCGCACCGCAAGGGAGAGCTCTGGGTATCAGGAAGGCCCTCCACGTGTGAAGCCGGGGGTTTTAAAGGGGAACCACGAAGTGCTTTCCCCAGTGGGCTGGACCTACCTGTCCCCTTGTCCCAGCTGTCTGCAAGGCCACCTACCTGGCCTGAAAGTCTCCCTGAGGGTGAAACCAGATGTGCTTCTCCTGTTTCCAGAGTGAACAATTGGGTACAACAAAATTCTTCCAAGTGGCAAAAGTACATCAAGTGGTTTGCAGATAGCACTGGGGATATTGGCACTGCAGTTTTCAAATTAGCAAATCCCTTATGCCATAGTTAAGGTACAGTCAGAACAGTAAAAATGCCAGATTAATTTTAAGCATTGTCTTTGAATTAATTCTTTTGCATCAGTCTGGATAATATCTGCTGCTGCCTCATGAAACCAGACAATGCAGGTTGGTAAGTTGACCCTCACTCCAAGCCATTCATCTAGGAAGAGGATTTGGAACATGTTTTAAATTGTGCTTGACAGACATTCAGACTTGGGGAAGTCTCTCAGGAGAGGATTACTCGATGGTAGCTTGTCTGATGCCAGCATGAAGTACCATGGATTTCTGGATCTCCAGTGTCCACCCTGCAAGCTTCAGTCCCAAGCTCCATCTGTTGTTACTTCAGCTTGTCCCTGATTACCTGATGGGAGTGGAAATGTGCCACATTGGCCCCTCTGCTCTGATGAAGACTTGCTGAGTCCATGACAAACTGTGCATTTTGGAAAATTATTTTGACCTGCAGTAAAATTTGATTTCCTTTCTCATACCCTCTACCTTCCAGCTGGAAATGCAGTTTGAAAAGAGGCCTGACAGTGAAAGTTGCAATATTAAATTAACATAATCTTCTCAAATTAAGAACCTGACAGTGTCCAGAAATGGAGCTCTGACTCAAGTGGTAGAGAGCCAGTCTTGAACACAAGAGCTAAGATACAGTACCCAGGCCCACTAAACAAAAGTCCAAATGGAGCATAATTTAAGCATTTAGAGAGTGAATGCATTCATAAAAGTCAGTATACACTTTTATTTATTATGATGCTCATGAATTTGGCAGTCGTTGGGGGTTTAACTCAGGGCCTTATGTTTATAAGACTGCCATGATCCCATAAACCCATAATTACAGCACTGTTCTTTGCTGGATAGTTTTAGGGGCCTATTTTCTGCAAAATATGCACCTGGGCTGTCATCTGTAATCTCTAGCTATTCACTACTGTGTCCAGCTTCCTTCTATAGAAAAAGTCTCTGGACATTTTCTCTCTGGGTTGGCTTAGCATTGAGATCTGCCTAATGTCAGCTTCTACATGGGAATGATAGTTGCACATCATTCTGTGCAGCTGTAGTTCAGTCCTTCAATTTTTAGCTTCCTAACTAACAAGAATTACAAACATGAATCAGCAACACCTAGATTATAAGCATTTTTAAATAGATTGCCTTCATTTGTTTTTTCATTGATTATCTTTCCCCCCTTGTAGTATTACTTGGTTCAAATGAAGTTTTTACCAGTATGCTGTAACATATGCAAGCCACACATCAAATAGAATCTGATCAAAATCAGAATTGATAAATGATGGACACAAAGAGACCTGAAAATATTCGAATTTTTTATGAAAGTTTATTTTTCTTTTTGAAACCAAGTTTGCCCTACAGTAAAATTCCTTTGAAACAATTCCAAAAGCAAGGTCATTCATAGTAAAAATTTGGAAGTTACTTAAATATTCACATTATATATCTGTTAAATAAAGGTGAGTTATATATCACTTAGTATTTTTAAATGTTTTGACATACTATTAACTGCAAAAAGCAAATCTGTATACAAATTATGATTGCAACCACACACACACACACACACACACACACACACACTATCTATTCAAAAATGTGGAAAGCTAACCTGGGTGCCAGTGGCTCATGCCTATAATCCTAGCTAGTCAGAAGGAAGAGATTTGAGGATCATGGCTCAATGGCCAGCCCGGGCAGAAAAGTCCATGTGACTTTAATCTCCAATAAACTACTCAGAAAAAGCCAGAAATGGTGCTCAAGTAGTAGTGTGCTAACCTTGAGCACATAGAGGCTCAGGGAAAGAGCCCAGGCCTTGAGTACAAT